TGAGCCTTGAGCCCCAGCATGCTGGTTCAATAAAACTTCCCCCTGCAATTGCATGAGGCTGGTCTCTTGTGTGGTCTCTCCCTCCGACACTCCGCTGGACCCTTACAGTCTCACTAGCTGGAATGCAAGCTGGGTGAAGGCAAGCCTTGTTTTGTCCACCGCTGCAGTTCCTAGAACAGCGAATGCACGACAGGCCTATTTACTCCTCAGGCCCAGTAGGCGCAACGTTGAGGGCCCCTAGTAATTTGGGAGCCCATGAAAACGCTTTGATTTTAGTTTCTCTTAGTATCAGAGGAAACAATTATTATCATATAATAACGAGCCAAATCTGAGTTATAGTCGTCTTTAATAGCAGCACAGTTATAAAATATTTTAAGTAAGTTTACATGGAGGCAGGAGCCCGCGGGCAAAATTGCCAATGTTAGGTAGGACTTAAGGACGCCAAAATGGCAGAGGCAGGGTAGTAAGAAGGACATGGCTGGAGGACAAGACAGAAGACTGGTCACGTCCCTGTTTACCTTAAGTCCCGTTACCATGACAACTCCCGCCACTGTATCACCATGACAACGCCAGCCACAGGTTTGGTGTTTTAAAGTGACCAGTGGGGGTAAATTGGACAGTATTCTAATTAGGTTTTCTAAAGTAACCAATGGGGAAATTGGACAATAATCAGGTATCATAAGGTAACCAGTGGGTAAGGTCTTCAATCAGGTCAGTATAGGGAAGGGAACACCTCATAGCTAAGCATATAAGACACTGATTTCCAGACATCAGGACCTTGAGTCTCTCTTGCTGGGCCCACTCTGCTACTTCCACCTTTAATAAATCTGTGCATTGCCTGTGACTTCTGTGTGTCTTGCTCAATTCTTTCTTTTGCACACCAAGGATCTGGACCCTGACAATAACACCATGGGCCCAGGAAAATAAAAATGTAATCCTTGCATTCAGTAATCAACTAAGTGAAAGACCCCATCAACACTTGCTAAGAGGGGACCACGGCCAGGTCCCTGAGGCTCCAGTGTAAATCAGCCTGTTGGGCTCCTTGCAAGGAAACATGGTACAGGATTGAGATAGGAATCTGAGATTACCAACAGCAAAAGATAAATCGAGTCTCTAAAGAGAAGTGCCAGGGCTGGGGATGTGGCTCTGTGCTAGAGTACTTGCCTGTTGCCTGGCATACACAAAATCTCAGGTTCAGCCCAACCACCATGGGGGAGGGGGGGGAGGAGAGAGAGAGAGAGAGAGACAGCCATTCCCATAAACCATTGGAATGCAGAAAACCCCCCCAAGAACTGTTTGAATGTGAAACAAGCAGCAAGCACTCCTGAGCAACCCAGTCTTTGGCTTGTCATTGCCCACAAAAGGTAACCCCCCCAACAAAG